CGCGTGCCTCCCGCGCTCTGAGGTCGCCGAGATGTGGCACAGCGTGGGGCTGACCCTGCTGGTCTTCGTGGCCACACTGCTGATCGTCCTGTTGCTGATGGTGTGCGGTGAGTGAGGGCGTCCGCCGCGGGGCAGCTCCGCGCGCCGGCTGGGCTTGACTCCCCGGTGCGGTCTCGTCCTAAATCCTCCCGCGCCAGCGGCCACTGGCGTGGATGGACCACCGTGTTCACATCGCCGGTTGTGCCCTTCCCTCCCACGAATGAGCTTCCGTGGATGCGCCCCCAGGTCCACTGACATCCCGGAGAAATTCAGGGCAGGATTCAGGGTTGGGCATCTTGATTCCACGGAAACGCGATACCTTCAGCGTCTTCCCTTCATTGCCCTTCTTGCCACTGTCTGCCCAGATTTTAACAGTGACCTGTGCGCGAAGGGAAAGTGATTGGTTATTCCTTTTTCTCTTTGACATGTTCTAACCCTAATGGTAACGGGAGATTTCATTGCCTATTTATTTAATTAATCAGGGATTGGGAAACACTTCGGTTCTCAGAACACGTGAAATTGTTTACTTCGAGTTCATGCGTCAACCAAATTCCAAGCAGAGATGTTGAGAAGAGGCAGAATTTTAAAAACAGTAGCTATATTAAACTTCCAGGGTCATGTAACCTAACTCTGTTCTGCAATAATGGTGCTATTTTGTTTACTGTGGATATTTTCCTTCTTGGCAGGAGAACACGTTAAACTCTTTCAAAGCAATGTTGGCAAAATTTTACATTTTTTTTTCTTTATCACAGTAACTGATAACCACAAATGTCAGCAAAGAGACTGAGCAGTTGTGGAAATTTTGTTTTTGTTTTTTGAGACAGGGTCTCACTTTGTAGTTGAGACTGACCTGGAATTCACTGTGTAGCCCAGGCTGGTCTAGAACTCAAAGCGATCCTCCTGCCTCAGTCTCCCAAGTGCTGAGATTACAGGCGTTCGCCACCACACCCAGCAGAAATTTGAAAAGTATTTCAAGTGTGAAGTATGTTTATACGACTGAATTAAGGGTTCAGCCTGATGATGTAGCAGTTGGTCAGAATTGATAATAAATACTGTGAGAGTTTGTGTATTATATATTATTTAATTTTTTAATTTGGTGAATGAAACCCAGACTTCACACTTGCCAAGTACATACTCCTCCCCTGAGGTGCACCACCAACCCTGAATGGTGTTTTTTTGTTGTTGTTTGTTTATTTTGTTTTGGTCATTCTCTGGTGACACCTGAGCTAAAGCTTTTCAAATAATTGAATAACTGCTCTCAATTTAATGCTTGTGAGGCCAGCGTTTTGTTCTGATTCCTGTAGGTATTTAAAGTTCTTGAAGTAAGGAAAACTGGATCCTTGTGATTTTTTTTGCAAGCTGCCTAAACATGGGAATCTGACCTACACACCATACCATACCTAGGATAGAATAGTTGCTTAACTTTGAGACATCAGAATTCGACCTCTTATCTCTCAATAGCTGTCTGATTGTATAATTATACTTAATTTATAAAGTTCCTTTAGTTTCAGGAAACATGGAATAAGAGAGCTGGAGTATAATACGTTGTTTTGATTGGGATGGTCAAGAACTAATGGTTTCATGAAGCAGTCCAAATAAATTTTCTTGTTGGGAGACCTAGTGGAGTAAGGTAGAAAGCCTCTTGTTTTGACTGGAAAGGGGCCTGGGTTTGAGGGGAGGGAAGGAGTTAAGAATTAAGAAACTAGGTCGCTATATTAGTTTGCTAGGGCTACCGTGGCAAAATACCATAGACTAGATTGCTTAACCAACAAAAATTTATTTTTTCACATTCCTGGAGGCTTGCACTCTTGAGATAATGTGTGATCAGTGCTGATTTTCTTTGAGGGCTCTCTTCTTGCCTCGGTGATAGCTATCTTTTCCCTATATCTTCATGTGGCCTTTCCTCCTCTAAGGGGACACCAGTCACTGTAGTATGACCCCCACCCTTGTGACCTCATATTGATACAGAGCATATGATGTGGTCATAAACCTTGTGAAAATCTGGTGAATGCTGTGAACAGTTAGAAAAAATGTACAAGTGTACTTTTTCTCTCCCTGTATCAGATTTCATGGACTCTCCCTTCCTTAAACCCCAACATAGAAGTTCAGATTGAGAGCCTATATGCCCTTTCTGTAATTTCATTCAGTTCTGCTCACTGAGTATTGAGTACCTTCTAAGGCTCTGGAGTCAGTCTATGTGATGGGGTCTCCCAGGAGGAATCATAGTTTACTTTTAGATCTGAGAGGCTCTTTCACCTAGTAAATTCTGATTTTCAAACTTAGGGAGGTTTTCCTTCTATCTATATTGGTTGTTTCTGCTTTCTCACCTCTCATTCATTCTAAAATGTTTCCATCCTCCACAGTTCACTGAAGCTGCCCTTGTCAAGGTTAGTGACAAGTGGTCTGGGGAATTGCCCCTCAGTCCTAATTGAATGTTGTTGTCATTCCAGTAGAGTTGAGCACTCACTATGAGAAACATTTCTTTTGGTTTTATACTCTGCACTTCTGATATAGGGGGAAGAGATGTAACTCCCAAGCCTACTAGACATCCAAAATGTGAATTCGTGTTCTCTAAAATTGAAGAATGAATTCTAGGAAGAATGGAGGTTAAGAGTAGGAAAAGCTTATTGAGAAAGAAGGGGTAACGGAAAGTGGGTTACCCGCTCACCCCATTTTTCAAAGATGTTTTATACTGCAAAGCCATGTGGTGAGGTGGGTAAAAAGTGGGACAAAACCGTAAGACCCAATGGAAAATTAGGAGGATTTTCAGTAAGGGTGGGGGCCAGGGATATTTCATGGAAAGGCTGGGCTAGGACTTTGCTCCCCCCCCATGTGATTGATACCTATTTAGAAGGTCAGTTACTGCTATTTATCCCCAGGGGAAACACAAGGGTGTAGTAGTTTTTCCTTTTACAATTCTGGCCTTCAGTGAATGTGTCTTGATTGTCCTCTATGTTGGCTCCTTGAGGGAGGCCCTGTCTAACTGCCTACAAGATATCTAATTGCCTATCTGCAATACTTCCCTAGTGTTTTTCTTTGTATAATAACTAATTTTCTTTTCCTGCTTCTCATCTAGAATTTAACCTTTTGGACCAGGATTTATAGTGGGAAATGCATTATTTCATTACTTTAATAAGTATATAAATTACATGTGTCAACTTGTTTATATATACATCTACCTATCGTCTCTGAAATAGAAAGTTTGTAAACTTATATCAAAATATGCTAATTTTTTTCTGTTCTATGTTTAAATATATGTATTAGAGTTTGTGTATTATAGTTTTTTTTTTTTTTTTTTTTTTTTT